GCTGGGGCGCTGGGGACGCGGGGGGGCTTGGGGCAGAGAGCCACGGCGCGGGGGCCCCACTCTGGCGCTGAGGACGCGGGGGGGGGGGGAGCGACGCGAAATAAAATGGTCGGAGCTCTAGACACCCTGTGCAAGAGAATAAATGGTCGGGGCGGAGGGGGCGGTGCGCTGGGCTGGGCTGCTGGGGAAAGGGGGGGGGGGGCGACGACGACGCCGAAATAAAGTGGTCGGGGCGGAGGGGGCGGCGCGCTGGGCTGCTCGGGAGAGGGGGATGGGGGGGGGGGGCGACGACGACGCCGAAATAAAGTGGTCGGGGCGGAGAGGGCGGCGCGCTGGGCTGCTGGGGAAAAGGACAGGGGGGGGCGACGACGACGCCGAAATAAAGTGGTCGGGGCGGAGGGGGCAGCGCGCTGGGCTGCTGAGGAGAGGGAGAGGGGGGGGGGGGGGCGACGACGACGCCGAAATAAAGTCGTCGGGGCGGAGGGGGCGGTGCGCTGGGGTGCTGGGGAGCGACACATAGCGACACATGTCGACACAACGCCGAAATAGGGCGACGACGACGCCGAAATAAAGTGGTCGGGGCGGAGAGGGCGGTGCGCTGGGCTGCTGGGGAAAGCGACACATGTCGACACAACGCCGAAATAGGGCGACGACGACGCCGAAATAAAGTGGTCGGGGCGGAGAGGGCGGTGCGCTGGGCTGCTGGGGAAAAGGACCGGGGGGGGCGACGACGACGCCGAAATAAAGTGGTCGGGGCGGAGGGGGCAGCGCGCTGGGCTGCTGAGGAGAGGGAGAGGGGGGGGGGGGCGACGACGACGCCGAAATAAAGTCGTCGGGGCGGAGGGGGCGGTGCGCTGGGGTGCTGGGGAGCGACACGTAGCGACACATGTCGACACAACGCCGAAATAAAGTGGTCGGGGCGGAGGGGGCAGCGCGCTGGGCTGCTGAGGAGAGGGAGAGGGGGGGGGGGGGGGCGACGACGACGCCGAAATAAAGTCGTCGGGGCGGAGGGGGCGGTGCGCTGGGGTGCTGGGGAGCGACACATAGCGACACATGTCGACACAACGCCGAAATAAAGTGGTCGGGGCGGAGGGGGCAGCGCGCTGGGCTGCTGAGGAGAGGGAGAGGGGGGGGGGGCGACGACGACGCCGAAATAAAGTCGTCGGGGCGGAGGGGGCGGTGCGCTGGGGTGCTGGGGAGCGACACATAGCGACACACATCGACATATAGAGACATATATCGACACACCCACACACACACACATATCGACGCACAGCGACACATAGCGACGCACACATGGAGACGCATAGCGACACCACAGCGACACATATAGCGGCACATGAAGGGCACAAGGCACACAGCGACACATATAGCGACGCATGAAGGGCACAAGGCACCTGGGGGGGAGCGACGACGACGCCGAAATAAAGTGGTCGGAGCTCTAGACACCCTGTGCAAAATAATAAAGAACTACCTCCCGTCGTGTTGTTTCTCCTCGACTCCAGGGGGTCTGGGTCCCACCAGGTGCGGTCGGCCGCGCGCCGCGGCACAATTTTCCTTCCTCGATTCTTCGGCGGCGCGGCGGCCCCTTCGGGGGGCCGGCCGGCGGCGCGACGCGCCTCCGCCCCCATCGGCGGCGCGGGCCTTGAGCGGGGCCCCGACCGGGATGCAGTCCTCCGGGCGCCGGGAGCTGGGCCTTGCCGCGTGGCCGTCTGGGCATTGCTGCCTCCGGGGGCTGCAAAGGGTGTGGTTGTGCCAGCGCTCCTCTGCCCTCGTGCCTCGTTGCCCTCCAGCGCGCCCCGCCGTCCTTCGAGCGCAGCCTGTCCGCTTGCGACCGCTGACTGGAAAGTGGTTGCGCCGGGGTTTGGCGAGCGGGGCCGTTGGGGCCTGGGGGGGCACGACGCTGTCCTCGTGGGGCTTCCTCGGGGCGCGGCGAAGAACTGTATCGAGGTTTCCCGGGGGTGCCACCCAGGGTGCCAGTCGCAAACCATGCCCCTTGCAAGCCACACCCTTTGGAGTCGCCGACAATTCCCTCCTCGCCACCGGTGCAGCCTCTACCCATATCCACTGCGTCTCGGACTTTCTGGGAAGGGGTGCCAAAATGCCGAGGCGCAGGTCTATATGGATAAGAACCCAGCCTCCAGGGGCCAGATTTCTACCCGTGCCCGCTGCGCACCGGATTTCTGCGGAAGGGAGCCCGGAACTCCAAGACGCGATATTGATACAAATTTGGCCCGCATCCAGCCCAGCTGCCTCTGCTGCTCGCTGTGCTCGCCCTTGAAGGCTCCCTCGGGCACGGGCCGTCCCGGTCACACAGGCAAGTTACCGAACTACAGATGTACTTGCTTGAGGGTGCGCCGGATGGAGCATGAGAGAAAACAAGAGTGTATAGAAGGTCGGCCCTCCTTCACCCTGCTCCTTCTCTCCTCGTCCCTCCCACCGCGTCGTAGACATCTCCAGCGTCATCCTCATCGTCCCCATCCTATGTCTCTTTATCCTTCTGCGGCCATTGACAGAGCGCAAGCGTGTTCGCCTCCATATCGGCGCCCGCGAGTCCGACCCGCTGGTTCCTGCGTTGCGCAGTCAGAATTCGATACTGCTGCAAAGTTCACAACACGCATTCGAGTCCCTGACCTCTCCAGCGGCTGCTCGCCGTAGCAGAAGGACCCGCACTGACCTTTGAGGAGATGGCCAAGGACTAGAGTGTGCTGCAGGGTCGGTTGTGCGTGAGCACTGAGTTCACTTTGGGCCCACTTCCTCCTCCCCCTCCCTCGAAGGCGACTGTCGGACCTCCTCTCGGGCGCCTTCTGACCACGAGTTCGAGGCGGATGCAGCCTTGGTGGCGATTGCCCCCCTACGGGCTCCCAAACAGGGCAGCCAACCAATTGTACCTCCCTCCTACCTTTCCCCCTCCTTCTCCTCATGCTCCTCCTCTGCGCTCTTCGTAGCCGCTTTGGCTCAAGATGACTGTTTCCACGAAAACAAAGTGGATACCGGTAGTCCGCGGGCAACTTACATGTCTCAGTGAGCTCCTGATGGAGCCAGACCCACCTCCCGCAGACGGTCTAGCGGGCGGTGGAGTTTTCGTTTCTGCCAGTCTATCTGCTTATCCTCTCATGGGCAACCGGGCTCAAAGCGAAGGTGCTCATGGTCCCAGAGCCAAGAAACAACTCAACAGTCGCAACCGCCGCGCTCCTGGGATTTACCCCGCTTCTGCTGATCTACCTGGTGAAGACGAAAATCTCCCCTCTCCTGCACTTGCTTGTATTGGCAGTGTTGGCTCTGGTGGCCGGCAAATAGTTCTGCCTGAAGAAGATGAAGACGGCCCGTCAGACGATGATAAAGGCAACGACGCTTAGCTCGGTCATCGTGTGCGCATTCACAGGTTATCGAACAGCTCACGTCTACTCGCCAGTCCCTCCTCGAGGATCTTCCCTGCGTCGTCTTCACCACGGACGAAGAAAAAGGTTGCCAGCCTTGCCGCCGCCCTGTACGAGCATGCTATGCGGGGCAGTTCTTTCGATGCTGCCGTGCGTAATACACCCCGCGAGGCTGACGACACGGCCAATAGGTTATTGGCCTCCGTGGCTGATGGATCTTTTCGGCAAGTGCACGAGCAGCGTGAGGCCCGTCATGTTCGAACTCGTGGGGTGGAAACCAGATTGGACGAGGACGACACCGCCGTCGTTAACACCCGTGGAGAAGTCAAGCTGATTCGCGAGGCTCCCGCTCTACAGCCCACTCCCGTCCCCAGCTCCACAAGGTTAGAGCGCGCAATGGACCATTCCATCATCAAGGTTTTCACATCCAAGCTCTTCGACCTCAACCATGTGCAACACGGATTGGATTGCCACTGTCAGAGTGAAGGCTTGCGGTTTTGACATCGACTCGGCAGGACAAGTCCCCCGGCATTTGTCAGTCAAGTTCAATGGTGCAGTGGGGCCCAGTGTATGCAGGGTCGTCAAAGATCTGGGCGCTCAAAGAGTCGGCTCTGCGCAGTGTAAGCGTTTCCAAACAGACGCAGCTAATTGCTCGCAGCCTGGCCTCATCTGCGTAGACAGAACACAATCAAGTTACGATGGAGGTGCAGGGCGAAAAGCTCAGAGAAGCCTTCCGCTGTATGGACCCCGCGAAGAAATGGACCGTCGATCGCGAACTACACCACGGCTGGCTACATTACCTCAACACCATTAGCGCGCTGAGCATGCCTAGTCCACCCAGGAGGCCGATGCCATCCCGTTCTGCGGGACATGGGGGCATTGTGCAACTGATCACGAAGAAAGGCATGTACCCCATTGCATCATTACATCCCTGCGGCTACGGACGTCGGCGGGAAGCCGTATGGCGGCAGCCTTCTCGCGTCTTTCCACATGCTACTTGGACAGAAAACAGCCCGCGCCATCTCTGTTGCTGTGCCCGACTGACCCCTCCAGTGCTCTAGGTTGCCCCAAGTTGTCTTCAACGCAATAGTGGTCGACGATTGCGAGATCCAGCAACGGATTCTTTCCAAGTTCTCTGAGCAATGCCGCCCCACTTCTCTCGGCCAGGACGAGTGCCAGCACGGAAAGAAGCACTGGGTGGATCGGTGATATAGCTTTTCGAAAGCACAACTGCGACACACTTTATTCGACCACCTCTTCAACGACACTCCCGACGACGACGACGACTACGAGCTGATTCGCATGATCTCTGTGGAAGAATGGATTGGCGTTTGGGTTATCGGGGAGCCGCGCTCTGGGTTGATGATGGATTTGTCCGCCTTGGATGCGATCGGGTTCGAGCGCAAGCGCGCCGCTCTCCGTGTACAGTGCGACAAGCTCCGAGGCTGGAGGCCCCGCATCTTCCTCAACCCGCGACTTCGGAAATATTTCGAGAGGTGAACCACCTTGCTGCGTCCCTGGCGGACGGCGGGCGTGGTGGGAGGGGCAGGAGATTCAGCCTCCGCGCCCCGTGGCCCCCGCCAGCCCCAGTAGACCGCACAGCTGACGGCGTTTTTTCTCATGATGAAGATCGTGGGAGGGCTGCTGCCTACTCCACAATCCTCCAGAACTACCCCAACAAGAACTATCCCAGCTCTAGACGTCGACCACGAGAGCTGGTTCCAGAAAGCGTTGGCATCTGGTGATGATGCACTTCCTCTTCATCATGACCATGCAGTTCCTGATCCGCCTTTCGTCCTCGGCGAGCTCGAATTCGACGGCGACCTTGGCTCGGCTCACCACCTGGACGCTTTCGGCAACTACGCCACCGTGCCGGTCACAGCCTACCTCCTCTTCGACGGCATGAGCGCCGACCAGACCCGCGCGCGCGGGGCCCGGGCGGCGGCGGCACGCGGACAATCGGGGAGACATCTTCTCTTCACGCTTGGCTCCTCCTCTGCCTCTCCTGGAGGAGGCATCCAAAGGCTCCAGAAGTAATTCATAATTATTTCTCAAACGCTTCACCGTCCTCCTTTCATCCTTCCTTGCCCCTCCCCCTCCCCCATCCAACCTCCTCCCCCGAAGGGGGCATTCTACTGCGAGCTGTGCGCGTGCAAAGCGGCCGGCCTGGGCGCCATGCAGCGGCACCTCGTCGGCGAGAGGCACATCTTCTCGTGCCAGAGGACTGCCGGCCAGCAGAGGGGGGGTGAAGGCGAGGGCAGGGGTCGGACCCCCTCGTTGCAATACGATGGCATGTGCTCACGTGTAAGATCGCTACTGGGTGCCAACATGGAAGCAGTGCAGCCGTAGGCCGAAAGTCTTCTCCCTTGCACAGCGCGAAAAATGAAAGAGAGAGAGAGAGAGAGAGAAACAACAAAGGGATGACAAACAAAGAGACAGAGATAAAGAGAGAGAGAGAGAGAGAGAAACAAGATAGAGAGAGAGAGAAAGAAAGCTGGATTTACCCGAGCGGCTCGCGAGGAGGGGCGTGACAGGAAAGGGGCCGGAGTTAGGGAGGGGAGGCGGGAGCAGATCTCCGACGTTTTTCTTTTGTTCATAACGTCGGCCCCTGGACGTTTCGACCCATTCACCAGGGCAAGTTTCTCATCCTGGGTCGCTTCTTATCGGTCACGAGACCTGGTAAAGGGCCCCCAGGGGCCGAAAATAAAGAATGACCTTACGTCGTGACTTTTGTCGTGAAGCGAGGGGTCTGGGGACGGGAAGCGGGTCGGAGTGAGGGGTGTGGGGCGACAGGCACTGCAATCAGTGGCGGAACATCCGGGCACGCCTATAGGCCCACCTGTTGTGGTCTGCACGACACGTTCTCAGAACATGTCTGGCTGGGACCGTCTTGCTTCAACACATCGGGCTTATGTTCTGAGAACAAATTTCGTGGCACCGCCAGCCCGCATAATAAGGATGGGCATCCTTCCTACCCTTGCATCCTTGCCCCTTCGGCCCATCCCTGGCCGCTGTCGCTGGCCGCGCCCCGCTCGAAAAGCTTCGGAATGGCCCCCCCAAGGCCCTTGCACCCTTCTCGCGCATCGTTGCTACACTGGCTGGCTGTAGGCCTATGGGAATGCCGGGACGGCCGGCCCCTGCTGCAGGCACTGCGCGGCACGCGCGGCCGGCACGAGGGCGCGCGCAGCCTCGCCTCGCCTCGGCCTGCGGGGGCGGCGCCTCCCGGGGGCCCCGCGCCCCACCGGGGGGGGGCCGAGCCCACCGCGGCTGCGGCGGGCGTGCCCGCCGGAGGTCCGCCCGCGCAGCGTGGGGCGCTCGCCGCGCCTCGGGGGGCACGCGCGCTCGACGGATCGGAGGGCGCAGCTGCCCAAACCGACGGGCCTGTCTTCCACCACCACCATGAGTTGGAGGGGGAGGGGGTCCTCCTCCTCCTCCTCCTCCTCCTCCTCCTCCTCCTCCTCCTCCTCCTCCTCGTCCTCCACCTCCTTCCCCCCTCCAACTTTTGGTGGTGGTGTTGAAAAACAAGCCCATCACAAGCCCCTCCGCCTCATGAGACAATCCTGACGGGAGGTGTTTCGCTACTTTCGGCCTCTGGGGTCACCTTACCTCGCCTCGAGGCCGCCAACAAATCGAGTCGGGAGTAGCAATTTCTTGGGAATGCGTCGCGACCTCCAGAGTCGACGTCATGACAAAATCCAGACGTCAGGGATCTGGGCAAACTATAGGGTGGGGTGACGGGCGACGCTCTGCGAAGCCTGATGTGCGCGCAGGAGCATGCACGCGGAAGCGGTGGAGACTCGCTCCCGCGGCTGGCTCAAGAAAGGCATGGGGGGAAGAGGAAGACGGAGAACGGACGACAGAGGAAGAGGAGGAGGAGGAGGAAGAGGAGGAGGAGGAGGAGGAGGAGGAGGGGGAGGAGGGAGAGGAGCCGTTAGATAAGTTCGAATAGGTTCGGCTTGAAGCCGATCTACTGCATTGTTATCTTATGTGTGGTCTTCGCTTCCATCGAGCTCTGCTTTTGCCTCTTGCTGGTATCCTGCCACACGCGCTCTCAGGTTCCATACCCGCGCTTCTGTGTAATTCTCCCAGGTGTCATCCATGCCCCCGCGCCAACTAGAGGAACACTGGCAATCTTCGCGAGGCGCCACAGACCTCGTGCAGACCCAGCCGGAAAGCCGGAAAGCCGCAGAAGCGGGCTTCCTCTGCAGCTCGACCCGGCCGCCAGCGGAGGCGGTGCCAGGAGACGCGATGCTCTTGGCCGCGTCTTCAGGCAAGCCGGAGGCCTGCCTCTCGTCCGCAGACGTGAGCCCACCTGTCCCGGCCTGCCCCCCCCGCTCGCCCGAGGTCGGGGCACCCCGAGCTCAAGTTCGTCAAGGAGGGCGAGCGGCCCGCCGCAGCCCCCCGCGCGCGCGCGGTGCCAGCGCGGGGGTGGTGGTGGCAGCAGGCTTGGCGAGGCCAGCAGAGGCGCACGTGCACGCGGGGTGGCGAGAGCGCAGGCCTGGATGCGGGGCCGTGGAGACGCAGCGGAGGGAGCAGGGTGGGGGGCGTGGAGGGGCCGAGTCTGGGCGCGTGCGCCTCCGTGCTTGCCGGGGAGGCGGAGGGAGGGAGGGCGGGAGGGGGAGGCGGCGAGGCGGGCCAATCATCCATGCACGTCTTCCAGCTGGAGCCGAGCAGCAGCACCTCGAGCCACCGGCGTCGAGGGAGAGCCTGCCTGCCTGGGCTCTTCAGTCAATGGCCGCACCTGACCCCTCAGGAACGAGCACCTGCGGCCACGAGGCCGCAGCCATGAGTGCAGCGTCGGTCCTCTTCTCAGGAGGCGTCGTGACATCCATGCCCCGGCAGGCGGCAGCGCCTCAGAAGAGGGAGAGTGAGGATAATTAAGAGCAACTGTCTCGAAGTGTCAGTTCGTGCTCCTTCTCTTGGGCCTCTCTTGCGGCCCTCTTGGCCGCTTCGGGGGCCTCTGGAGCCGCCTTGGGGCCCTGGTGGGTCGTCTCGAGGCCCTGATGGGGGCCTCTTGGGCCGTGGCTTTGGTGACCTTGGGGTCCTCTTGGGCCGTCCTGGAGCATCGGACGCCCGACACGGCGAGAACACGCATCACACCGGCAGAGAAAGCCTAAACACCAACGCCGCATGATGAGACACATGGTCCGCACGGCACGGTTATGTGGCGCATTCTGAAACGCAGGCTCGGAACGCCATAGCACGGCCGGCGCGGCACACGTCTCGCATTCGAGACCGCAGACACGGCACACCAGCAGGCACTGCACGCAGGCACGGCACGGCACGCAGGCACGGCACGGCACGGCACGGCCCTCGTTTCGCATTCCGGAGCAGGAGGAGCAGGAGGAGGAGGAGGAGGAGGAGGACGAGGAGGAGGAGGAGGAGGAGGAGGAGGAGGAGGACGACGAGGAGGAGGAGGAGGAGGACGAGGAGGAGGAGGAGCGGCGGCTGTGAGGATGCGGGAGCAGGAGCGGGGGGCATCCCGAGAGGAGCACGGGAGGAGATGGGAGGGACGGCGCTGGCAGGCGCGGTGGCCGCGCCAGGCTGCCGCCCTGCGCGCCCTTCGCGCCGCTGCCGCCCGAGGCTCGCTTTGAGCCCAGACCTTTTGGGCGCCACCGGCCTCCCGCGCTCTTCGCCTCCCCCCCTGGGTGCAGCCGGCGGCGGCGCAGGGGCGCCTCGCGTAGTCCAGGACCGCGCCGCCGCCGCCGCCCGCCGCCGCCTTGCCTCCACCGCCAGGCTGCGACTGGCGCGGCGGCGGACGACGACGACGACGACGACAACCGCGATGACGACGATGACGATGACGATCACGGCGACGACGACGACGACGACGGCGACGACGGCGACGACGACGACGACGACGGCGACGATGACGGCGACGACGGCGACGACGACGACGACGACGGCGGCGGCGGCGGCGGCGGGCTCGGTGCCTGGCTGGCCCTGGCCCCGACATCCCTGCGGATCTGAAGCGAGTAACGGGGGCGCGATAAGCCCTGACACCTCGAGCCATGAACAAAAATACGACGGGCGTTTTTTTACGATGTACTATGTTCGGCCTGGGGGGCCTTGCAGGGCTGTGGAACCGGCCAAAGTTTCTTCAGGAGGAACAAGCGGTTCCGATGAATGTGTCAACCTCCAGGGCTAAATTCTTGGCCCCAACCATTTTGGCTCATACCATTTTGGCTCAAGCCATTTTGGCTCAAGCCATTTGGCTCAAGAGATGGCCCAAGTAATTAACCCCCTGTGTCCCACCCTGTGCGTCGCCTCGGCCGCTGATGCTACGACCCAGTGAGTGTGGGGTCACAGGAAGTGATACTGTTTGTATGCGTATGTCGCCGGAGAGGCTCTCGAGACCACAGAAGCGCAGGCTACGGCTGCAGCGTCTGGCAGTTCACCGCGCCCAGAACCTCAATTTGAAGAAGAAGATGCAGGCTTCGGCAATGAATGTTGACGCTCCCCCGTTTCATCCAGACTTCTTCGCTGAATCCAGGGTCATGCGAATAGAGCCTATGTTGTTGGACGTTCATCAGGTTTTCGTGGGCCAGTGGCATTGCACCCCCGAGCAGATTGAGCAGCAGGTTGCTCCAGGCCCTCAACCACAGCAGGTACCACTATCAGAATCGGAGGCGCAAGATGTGCTGCAAAGTGTTCCCGCTGAGCCTCAGGCAACTCCGGCGATCTCAAAGCCAGATGTTCGATTGTTGTCGGCCGCGGATTGGAATGAAATCCATGGCCGTTTTCGTCATCGTGTCCAAAGATTTGGTTGTTTGAATTCCGATGGTGCCATGACACCTCTCCAGAATATGTCGCAATGTCAGAGCCAGATGGTTGGCCTCACTTCGATGATGGGCAGCAGCATGCATTCTATTCCTGGCACAGTGAGCGCCGAGCTCGTGAGCAAGACATACTCATCAGGTCCTTTCGCCACGAATCCCTTCTGTCCGAGCAGGCACAAGAATCTAGAGATACCTTGTTGTCGCGCCATGACGTGGACCGTGCTTAAGGGCTACGAGATCAATTGAAAAAGTTGGAGG